TGGCTTTAATGAAGGGATGAAGACAATCTGTCGTCTCCAGAACCTTTTGTATCCGGTTGCTCCGAGCTCGCTGTCCCTCTGCCAAGCTCTCAAACCTTCCACCAAAGATGGAGAGGAACATTCGAGTTGCAGCCCCGAATCAAAGCGGGCTCTGAGACGACCGGATTAACAGCCAGACAGAAAAATTCAGAGGTGGTCATGAGAGAGCAAACAGCTCGTCACCACATTAAGTAACTGGTTCCAGCAGGAATCAGCTTGTTTCACTGTGAGGAAGTACTCCAGACAGTGTTGACTGATGCATAACCTTTACTTTGTTCACCATATGTACGTTTTGACTGGAAACGTATACATAGTTCTGCCTCATCGCATTAGGACCATTAGCCTTCTTGCCCCGAAGCTGTAACTGGTATTTAGTTTGCATCGTTTCATGCAATGACATCATGTAACCACAGTCAAGACCCGCATCTGTTGACGACTAAAGTCTTTTGGAGCCAAAAAATTGAAAGTGCACTCCACACAGGACAAAAAACAGATCCAGAATGTAAGACCGAGTTCTGTTAGCCATTTACAAATTAGTGCATGTACACGTGCATGCACATCAAACATGGGAGACTCGAGTTGTAGGGAAAGTTTAAAGATGTCAAATTTCCACTTTGGCAAGGTTCCAAACAGAGGTGACAACAGGAAATCCCTCCATATAAGCTTCATGTATGAACATTTCGTGCTGGCAAGGCAGGAAATCCAGTGAGAGCTCATAAATCTCTCCACAAGGCTTTGGGGTTAATCGTAGTCGAAGGCCTGTATGATGGATGAGGACTCAGAGGTACAGTATGTGTTTCTGCTGTTGTATTTCTCAGATTTACATCTGACTGTCTGGCAGTTTGAGGGGTATTAAAAAGTGTATAAATGGGATAATCTTCCTTTTTGTGCAGATACTTTTTGAGTCATGCATGTATTTTGCAAGGATTGCATAACCTCCGAACCTCCTCCGATATGGCTGCTACACAGCTGTCAAGTTTTTAGGCAGGCAGATTTACCACTTAAAATTTAAACAATGGGTCTATGATTTCACACAGAGGCAGACAAAAGCAGACTCATTTTGTAGCTACCTACCTATTTAGGCCAAGGTTTGTTCAAAGAGTTAAAGGCGCCAACCTCTGGCTGACTTTTTGTTTCAAGCTGACTTATTTTAAAATAAGAACCCTGTAAAAGAGATCTTAAATATGCACTCGATGGCCATATGCATACTCTATGAAAGTCCAATAACTAGCAGGATAGAGCGGCTAACATTATCTTAAACTCACTCAGATACAATGGAGAAATACTATACAGTGAATACGCTAGTTATGATTATTATTAAAAATGTTCTCATGTTCAAAAGAAAGATTACATTGTCGTTATTTGTCAAAAAGTAGAAATGAGGCCTTGGGAAAAAAACTGGAACTATAACTCACTGAAATGCAAAGAAAGAAAAACTCTGTTCTTAATTTTTATTTACAGACACATTTGCCAAGTCAGTGGTCACATTTTACAAAACCTGACTTACTGGTTGCTTGTGAAATAGGTCATTGGCTCCAGTCTGAATTCTCACACTTTTCCAGGGATCTATAATAAAATGCCTGCACACAAATTTTAACCACAGTCTCTCAACACAAAACTTGAAGCTTTAACATTTTTCACAGCTGATCCTTTTTTCCCATCCTCACTGCTATGGTCAATGACTTCCTGAGTCCTTTCTCTACCAAACAACCAAGAGTTAGCCTACGCTGGAGGAAGGGGAACGTCTGCATTTTTCTGAGTCGTTAGGTGACTTTATGAGATGTTCTAACAGACGGGTCCAAAATCGACAGCTGTGGGTCAGCTAGAAGAAAAAAACTCAGGCAATGTGAACAGAAGCTAAGAGAGGTACTCAAATCTGTGGTGGCAGAACTGGAGCCAGGGTACTCAAATTTTGTTCCCTTCTCCAACATCTGGGTCTTGTCTTTCCTTTGAGAAATGCACACTGAACAAACAACCGTACTCTGAAACCCTTTGAGGCATCAGAGTGAAGGTTTAAATCTGGTCTTTGGGCCTCAGTTTGGAAAGCTGTACTCCAAGATATAGTTGTGTCAAATGCATGATCATACTGCTGTGAAAACCATGTAGATCAATTTCAGGAACATTTGTGGTGCGTCTCTGTGGACAGTCACCACTTTGGTTCCAGACTGAAATATCTTAACTATTGGATGATTTGCCATACAATTTTATACATTTATGTCCCCATTAGGACGAAATAACTTTGGTGATCCCTTAACTCATCCTCTGTCGTGACATGTGTGTGCATGGCTGTTGACTCCTAAGTCTTGGACGCATCTGCAGAACTTCTTGGTATTTATTTTGGCGCCAATTCTTTTCTTGTATTCTGATCAGTCGAGGGTGTTATTTTATTAATATCTTAAAATTTACATGATTGTTTCTTCGTTTTGAATTTTATCGTGAAGTATTTGAACATGGGTTGTAAGCAAGGCAATAAGCTTTAGGAATCACCATTAAAAGAAACAAGCAGTAGTGAGGTGATCAAGGAAAAAATACACAATGTGTATGACATGACCTCCTGTTATCCTTGAATATTCATGTCAGAGAGAGGTGCCAGAAAAATAAATAAAAAGAGTGCCTCCATTGACAGTATTTTGCGTCCACAAAGAGTTGATTTTTTGTTTCCGATGTCCACTTCACTTAATTTCAGTGTTTTGTTGGTTTGGAGCACAGCATATTTCGAAAAAAAATGCCCACAAACAAATTATATTTATGTTGATTAATCACATTTCAGTCAGTCGCATGGAAGCCATTTCATAGCTGCTGCAGCATTAGAGAAAGTTAGGGCTGTTTGACACAGTAGGCTTTAAGTTTGAGAAGGATGCCCATGCACAGTGCCGATGTTTGTATTTTCTGTAGACCAAAATTTCAGCAAATAACATGAGAAGTGGTACCTAGTGAAACAGCACATACAAAACCAAACTCATGCTATTGTAACAGTGCATTCACCTGTTAGCATTACTCATGACTACAAGCTGCCAATCCCCAGATGAAAGAAAGTTGATTGAGGAGCAGGAAACAGGGAGTAATAAGAAGTCATTGCCAAGGTTGTCTGCGTTTTTCACGTTGCTGCGGCAACTTGGCCTTGACATCTGAGTCGCAGGTTAATAACATGAACAGGAAGTCTGCATGCAGACAGGTATGAGGTCAGTGTTTCCACACAGCTGACTACTTGTTGTTCTCTCTGGTGTCTGTTGGGAACACAGTTTGCTGCTCTGGACTTCATTAAATTGAAAGTGATGACTGCGAGATGGACAATGAAAACTGAAGAATAGGTTAATCTATTAGAAGTTTCTAGGTGAATAAGGGACAAAAGAATGGCGTGACTGTCTTTTCTGTCCATGTTAACTGACCAGTAAGTGAAGTCATGACTATTTGCACTGTAAATTACTTTAACAAGCACAAATTAGCTCAGTGAATTTCAGCACAAAGAAACTGTCAGTAAAATCAGTCAAGGGGGAAACCAAAATGTTTTCTTTATAAGCAATCCCTGCATGGGGATAACATGTTAAAAGAACTGAAATAGCAACATAAACAAAAACACAAAGAATAATTCCTCAAATGTGAACCAGCTGTTGCGAGTGTGAATGTGTTCCCATATGTCTCTGCTTGTTACTTCCACACAGTGAAGGATCTGAACAAAAGCTAAATATTTTTGACATTTTGCACCCACAGCTCTGGAGAATAGTGCAAACCAGTGTTGCCAGATTGGGCAGTGGCTACTTTTTCTTTAATGATGTGGGTATAAAATGATTTGAGCAGGTTCATAATAACTTTTTGGCCAGTTTCCACCAACAAAAAGTTACATTGAATAAAGTGTCCCCTCCTCTTATCTGAGTAAGTTAAATTGGCTTAGACTGATCACCGTTAAAACTCTTTTAATATTTAATGTAAAATGATCTTAAAGTTGTATTTTATTTAAGTAATGTTTAATTGTTATAACTTTTATTTTGAGTTTGCCTTTAACTCAGCCTAACTCCTCCCATTTGGTATGTTCATCTTGACTTTCATTGGCAGACCGTTGATTCTAACTTTACTTTCCATGGCTACTTTCAGTGTTACCTCTTATAAACATCTACCTGCCAAAGCCTGAGATAAAAGGTTTTCTTGAATCATCAATTTTAGCCACTTGGGTTTAGACTGAAAACAAATATTGGATGCATTGTCATGAATTTGGCAGCATATATTCATAGGCCCCAGATGAAGAATCCTAATGACTGTGGTGATCCCCTGAACCTTCCTGTAGCGCCACCAGCAGGCTGAAGTTTTAAGTCTCAGCTATACACTAAACTTGGTAAACTTATACCTGCCAATCTGCATGTTAGCAATCTGGCGTTAGCTGTCAGTTCAAAGCATTGCTGTGCCTCACAGAGCTGCTGGCCTGGCTGTTACTGCAGGAATAAAGGGAGAAAGAACAAAGAGAAATTAATATTCCAATACTGAGTGCATGTGAGAAATAACCAGGTCCACTGTCTTGTGGCCTAAAAGTCCTGTACATGTAAACAATCTACAAATCTATGGCAACTGGGAAAACTCCATCCCCCTGAGGAAGATTGTGTAATACAATCGAAAGCTCCAGAACAGCTTGTAAATGGACCTTGTGGTTTTGTCAACTACTGTGTGTGCACTGTGGCAGTCACAGAAAAACTCTCCTCTCAGCGAGCTCTTGACCTCAGCCAAAACCAAAGTGAGACCCTGCCCTTAAATCTTTCTGCATGCAAAGAATGCACTGAGAGGTCCAAGTCAAACGAGAGTCTTCCTCCTTGTGATCTAAAGCTGTGCAGCTGATTGGGCTCCCTCTTTTGCCTCAGTTTGATTCTGTCTCTAATAACGTCTATTACTGCAAACATGCAGTTCCAGTAGTGGTTTCTCTCTATCACAGATCCACTTTTTTGTTTTCCTCCCTTCTCCTCTCGCATGCATGCACAGATCCAGTGCTTCTCCGCTCTCTGCTCGTGCAGCTCCACCCACCTGCAGATAAAAGCCAAACCCTCACCAGAGCTGCTGTTCAGTGTCTGTCCCAAACTCCTCAAAGCATTGTGATACTTCCACCCTGCAGCAGCAGCAGCAGTTGCACACACACACACACACACACAAAGGTAAGTGATGCGTCACCACTGGCACAGCAGGATTTGATGATGTTTTGGTTGGCATGGCTATCATGTTTAGACTTTTTGATGCAGCAGTCATTCATGTATGAGCTTTACAGGCATGATTAAGATAAGCTTTTCAATGTGTTGTGTGGTTGTCTGATTTCAAAGCCTTACTCTGGATAATTTTAACTTTTCTCTTGGAAAAAAACTAACAAATCATGTTTTGAATTGTTTGAATTTTTGGAACAATACCAGAGTAACTTTTGGGATGGCACGTGATTCACAGAACTGGGTCTGAGGAAAAGAAAACAGAGATAGAAAGGCAAAGCAAAAAAAGAAAAAAAGATTAATTTTCTTCCAAAATGTTTCATAAGACGTCCTACTGCACAGAGCTCACTGCTGTGAAACCTCTGCTGACAGAAGTCTCTGCAGAAAATGTCTGAAAGTTTTCCAAATGCAAAGAAAATCCAAAAGAGACACCTGGGAAGAATAACTTGGGCTTAAGCTTGTTAAAATAAATGCACGGTGCAGCATCTTGACAGGATTTAGCACCAGTTAATGGAATGCCTTTACATTTTAGAAATGTTAGTTGCATGTCTTTAAACACAAAAGGAAAAATGTAGGCCCTTTTTATTCAATGTGTGAGAAAGAAAAGGATTCTTAGATAAAGGTATTGTAGTTTTTAACACAAAAGTATGGATGAAAGCTTGAGAAAGTGGCTTTCTGGCAGCACATTAACAGAGAGAAATGAGTCAGAGATGGAAAGTTTGGCCTCTGGGAAATCTTCTAGGCAACTTTTTTTTCTACCTATCTTCTATCTTAAACATGCAGAAGTGAGAGTTTTTAACCCTGAGCTAGATTTTAGATCCGATATGTGTCCCTTGCTGAAAATGGATTTTTTACAGACATTGCCAATCAAACTTAAAATGGCTTTGATAATGTGATAATTCACAAACGTCTGTCCAATGCAAACTTACCAGAACCTCCAAAGCAGGCAGATTTTTTTTCCTCTCCTGTCCTTTCAGCATAACTTGATCACAGAATATCTGAGCATGCACCTGCCAAGAAACAGTTGGGAATCCCTGCTTCACGCCCGACAAGGATTTATCACAATGTTAAACATGTCCAAGGTGAAGCTGTTGGACTGTTTTCTGCTGCAAGTAGGTGGAAACGTGCTGTAATAGCTACTATATGTTGCATGCAGACGTAACTTGCAGTAGCATGAAGCCGGGTATGTTTTGATGCGAGTAGAAATGTGGAAATGTGCTTCCAGCTAATGAGCTTCACAGGCCTGTCTCATGAGCTGATGTGATAAGCTTCTTAATACAATTTTAGATACCAAAAAGGCCAGTCTTTAAGGAACTGAGGGAAAGTTTGTTAGATTTTCTGCGGCTGTTTCTAACTTTTCTTGAGTGCCATTTAAAGTGATCATGTTTTTCCTTTCTTTGGGAGAAAACTCTTAATTAGGGGAAAATGTGGTAACCTCACATAGCTGAGGTTGAACAACTTGTACAATTAACTTGCTGATAGTTTTTGATTACCGTAACTCTCACAGTGTAACCCTTGTTGCATTCAGAGGACTGTTGCCATCAGCAAAATGTTGTTATGGCTTTTTGTCATTCAGTGCTAAGCAGCAGCACCGTGGAAACACACACAACACCGTCCTGCAGATGTGAGGAAGTCCAAGTTCAAATCAAGGAAATCTAGAGCTTCACAATTTTGGGTTTTGGGTTATGCAGCTGTACTTTTGGTTTATGCTTCTTTTAGAAAATGTTATGGATGGTCTATCTGTAGAGGTATCATCTTCTACATCTGCATGCTTTTTCCATATTAGAAAGAGTAGGTGGATTCCCCACTTCATGCAGTTAGTTCAGGGGTACAATTTTGTTGTTTTATTTTATTATTTTATTATTTTATCCATTTTTGTGTGTGTGTGTGTGTGTGTGTGTGTGTGTGTGTGTGTGTGTGTGTGTGTGTTTTTGTTGCGCATTTCCAAGGGCCTTAGGGTAGCTGGACCTTGTCATGTGAACTCTGAGTTTTGGCCACAGAAAGGCTTCACCACTCCAAGAACTTCACCACTCCTAATTCTCCAAATGTTCTACATGTTTCTTTAAAACCAACCAGCTCTTTAGGAGTTGACTGCATTTGCCATCTCTTTAATGAAACAGCAGACAAAACTAGTGCAAATAGCAAATGGAGTGTTTTATTGACTATTGTTAGAAGGTTTGCTTTAGCAATATTTTTCATTTGCACAAGCTTGTGTGATTGTGGAGAAAAACCTAAACTTGATAGATATAACATGTTGATTAGCGAGCTTTAGAGGTGCTGGTAGGGGGGTTTGGACAGATGAGAGTGGCACCAGTCCTCCCCACATCTAATACTGAGCAAGGAAGTGTGTTAAGGTTGCAGTTATTCCTTTGTTTCAGATAAGCAACATTTTTATATCACAGTGGGAGCTGGAAACCACAATAGAGGATGTGAATGTCTCTTATATAGGTTGTTGTGGAGGTTGCAGAAGCGAGCTGGAAGCTGTAATCCCAAAACGGTGTCGGAAAATCTGTGCAAGGAGGGAATCAGATGCTTCTGTAGGCAGGCTGTGACTTTATATATTTGTTATGCTGTTAATGTCTCTTGACAGTATTTTCCCTGTCGGTCTCACACTCAGGCCCCTTCACACTTCGCACCTACTGAACAGGAAGTGTTTATGTAGCTGAAAGGGAATGTGTCTCTTGATCCCTCAGCTGCAGCCTCTGTGATTTGAGACTGTGTGTCCGGACACTCTCCTACTACCGTGCAGAGGCCTGTAGGTTATGAAACATCTCAAAATATGAAATGCAAATAACTTTCAGACTGCGGTTGTGGCATTTATTTATTTATTTTTGCAAGGGATTAATCTCTCACATTAGCTGCCATAATGATCCATTTTACTGCCTTTGTGTGCAACAAGTTGCAGCTCAGATTAAAAGCACCACTCTTGAATTACAGCTTCAAATTTAGCCGATTTATTGCAAAGTATCTTATCTAAAGTAGACCGAGTCGTAGTTCTTATTATCCGTCGTAAATACTCCACTGTAAAAACATCTGGACAGTAGGGAAAGGCAGGATCATATTTTTTCTCTGAGTGGCATATTTTACGGTGTGACTGTATAACACATTATGCTCCCCGGGACTGTCGTCATATCCCATTACTGTCACCGGTCAGACGATGCATGCATGTTGCAGCAAGCCCTAAATGATCCCTGGCCATTTTACGATCTCAATAAATCGAGATTTCTTTAAGAAAGTAGAAAGTTTGCAGACAACCAAAAGCCTCTGTGATTGATCACTCGTAGGGGTGTGTACATAAAGTAGAGTTACAGTTGCTCTGGTGAAACCATCATCAAAGTGAAATTGTCTCTAATTAGCTCAAAACAACACATAATCACCACCTAGTCATTTTTTAATACTGCTCTCATGCTCCAAAATTCACCAATTACTGCTCTTCTGGAAGGTTTCATTTGCCCACTTGCGCTGTATTTTTGACATCCTGTGTGTTGGAATTGCAAAAGTATTCATCTTAGGATGTTGGAAATCTTCCGAGGTATTTGTGGTCAATTTGGGAGCTTTTTTGTGCCTTCATCAGATTCATTGGCAGTGGTGGAGGAAGTATTCAGATCCCTAATTTAACTACCAATGTAACATTATAAAACATACTCCATTATAGAGGAAAGTTCTGCATTCAAAATCCTACTTGGAGTACAGAAGTGTTATCAGCAAAATGTACTCAAAGTACTCTGTGATATATTATTGACATTAGATTGTTAATACTGTTGCATCAATGTGTAAGCAGCATTTTACTGTTGTAGCTGCTCGAAGGGGGAGCTAGTTTTAACCACTTTATATGCAGTTGGGTAGATTAGTCCTTTGGTTCCCAAGCCTGGGGTCAGGTCTCTCCAGAGGGTCACAAGATAAATCTGCAGGGTTCTGTTACACAAATGTATTTTTAGACTTTTTTTTAGAGAAGTTTACAGGAGAAATCGGTATCTGCTTGAATGGAGATGCAAGAGTTTATTTTTTTTAAAAGGGGAAATGTCACAAAAAAGTTCAATGGAAACAGACTTCAGACTTGCGATGCAATCATCAGACACATGACCACTGAAGCCTATGCTCTACTGAAAAATGTAATGCATGTGGAGTAAGAATTACAATATTTCGACTGAAGGAAGTATAGAACAGCACAAAGTGGAAAAGGTACAAGTACTTAAATTTGTATTTATGTGTAGTACTTGAGTAAATGTACTTAGTTCCTTTCCACCAGTGTCCTTAAGGTTCAGAAAACAGAAGACAGGAGGCGACATGTGGCCTCTTGCACAGTGTGTGCTGTTCTTTTCTGATTTACACAGTACACAAAATATATTTATGCAGCTGCAAACTGCAGAATTCCCCACTGGAGTCTGTGGTTTAAGCATAGTATAACCGATCAGATCTGATTATTAGCCAAATGTTTTTATTGCCCATAAAAATAATCATTCACTAGTGGAGTGTCCCTTTGAGAGCCAGCGCAAATATGAGCGAGAGCAAGAAAAAATGTGGTAAGACCACATGAAGTTCAGGCGAAAACTTGGATTAAGTTTGCGAAAGTCTAAAAAGCCTCACAAGTGTTTCCTTCCTGCTGAACGAGATAGTGGAACATGTCATGTAAAATAAGCTGTCTTCAGAGTAAATATTTTCAGATTCAAAAATGCATTCTTCCCATTGATCTTTCTCTCATAGCATTTGAACAACTTCTGTAACGACCTGAAGTGCTTCTTAGTTCTTCATTGTTATTAATGCTGTCCGCAGACACCAGATACGCTGTTTTGACAGAACTCAAAGCTAATAGGAAAATAATTCTCCTTCTGTTCCCGATCTTTGCCTGAAAAGAAAATTGTGGCCAGACACTGGGTGAGCTGTGGTTCCCAGAGCTGTGTGAGAGGGAAAATCTGTCAATGGGATAGACAAAAAGGTAGGACAGACTGTGTGTGAGT